TCGCCACATTGACAGCTGATTAGGTGGTTCCTGCCCAGATTGAGGGTGGTTCTGGGTCTCCCAGTTCACTGACAGAATGCTAACCTCCTTTAAGGACACCCTCACAGACATACCCAGGAATAGTACTTTGCATCCCTCAATCCAACCAAGTTGACACTCAATATTAACCATCACACCTGTTATCTATTCACAGTTATCATTCCAGCAATCTTCTTGCCGCTGCTTCTGCAACTACAATTTTAATTTCTCCACTAAGTCTTTCACATCAAAAAAACAACAAAATGGAGTTATTTCATTTAATGTTTTCTTTAAAAAAATACCTAACAGCTTTCTTTACCCCAGTTTGCCTACCTCCAGAACCACATTTCTCTTGCCTTCGTTTTTTTTTTTTTTTAAGTTTTATTTTCCAGAGTTTTGCTCTTGGAGTGCAATGGTGCCATCTCGACTAAGCAATTCTCCTGCTTGAGACTTCCAAGTAGCTGAGATTACAGGCATGCACCACCACATCCAGCTAATTTTTAAATTTGGTAGTGATAGAGTTTCACCATGTTGGTCAGGCTGGTCTCGAATTCCTGACCTCAAGTGATCCACCTGCTTGGAACTCCCAAAGTGCTGGGATTACAGGCATGAGCCACCATATCTGGCCAACCATTTCTCCTTTTATAGCTATTTATTTCAAATCACTTGTCTTCAATTACTCTAATCCCATTCTCTTTTGAACCTATTTTATTCAGGCTTATTTTCTTCTACTTCCCACACTGAAACAGTTTTCAAGGTGACTAATACAGGTAACTATTTATGCATTGGCCATATACTTTATGTATAAATAAAGTACACAAGGTCAAGTATAATGTATTCTGCTAGATTACACTTAGCAACAGCACCTACAATCTACTCCTTTGACATCTACAATCACTGTTCCTTCAAATATTTTTTCTGTTTTCTTCGGGACACCATATTCTCTTATCTATTCTCCAGCCTCGCTGGATAATTCTTCTCAACCTGCTTTGCCAAATCCACCTTATCTCCCTCCAAAATTTGAAGTTTCCCAAATTTCTCTATTATTTCAATGTTTACCCTTTGCTACACACCAACATTACTTAAATCCAGTTTCATGATTCAGTTATGCTTATAATGCCACACAATATACTCAATTTGGAAATTTATTCAATGTTTGTGTTTAATAATTCTCATCATGCTGACTTCTTCAGTAACAAAGCTTGTGAAACTAGCTTATGAAAACATAGCTTATGAAACTAGCTATACAGCTCAATGCAATTCTATATTTTTAATTTCCATTTCTATCGTAATTTGCTATTAATATGGCTCTGCATAATCAACTTTCATGAATATATCAAAGAGAAATGGTATGATGAGAGCTAAGTGCAAACTATGCAAGTTAGTGACTATGAAACAGCCACCAAAGGAAGTCATATACCATTATTTTAAATAATTTATGTTTTGTTATATATTTAAAGGTTTATAAATAAATCTCTAAATTCAGAAACTTGCATAGCTGTAATTTTTAAAACATTTCATTGCTAACTTGGTTAGAAGTTTCCTGTTTGATTTTTTTAATTTCACACATTTAAACAAATGTTACAGTACAATGAGAGTGTCCTGGTATGGAAAAAGATAAACCTGGAATTATATTTTATGTTTGGTTTTGGTTATGGTTTTAAGAAATATACTTTTTTTAGCTAATTTATTCTGAAAAATGGGAATATTATATTTAATATTTAAGCCAAAGTATTACTTTTTGAATCTATTTTAAAATATTGTGCTCATATTTATATCTAAAATGTTTATGTTATTCATTAATATGATTAAGATAAAACAACTACAGAAAATTATTGGTAATGAACCAGAGAGATCATTTAGCTCCAAATTAAATGTATTGCTTGGTGATATGTCTGTTGCTTCGTAGTATAATAACATATATTAAATGCTTTATAGTGAAATTATTATATATATTATTAAAAAGAGGGGCCGGGCGCGGTGGCTCAAGCCTGTAATCCCAGCACTTTGGGAGGCAAAGGCGGGTGGATCACAAGGTCAAGAGATCGAGACCATCCTGGTCAACATGGTGAAACCCCGTCTCTACTAAAAATACAAAAAATTAGCTGGGCATGGTGGCGCGTGCCTGTAATCCTAGCTACTCAGGAGGCTGAGGCAGGAGAATTGCCTGAACCCAGGAGGCAGAGGTTGCGGTGAGCTGAGATCGCGCCATTGCACTCCAGCCTGGGTAACAAGAGCGAAACTCCGTCTCAAAAAATAAATAAATAAATAAATAAATAAATAAATAAATAAATACCATCAGTAATAGCAACAGATTGATATTGAGTCTTATCCTGAAATAATACTCTTTTGCTCACACTGTGTAAGTATTTTGTTTCTGTTTATGTCTTTAAATGACTAAAAATAATTATTTAAAGCAAGAAAGCAGAAAAGCCATGGAAGGCACTGAGACAGAGGTTAATAATTTATTCAGAAGTTTCTCTCACCTTGTTTTTTCAGAATTTCTCCTTGAGATTTTGTGAGATACAAGATTGTCCAACTAAAAACTACATTTCCTATCAGTAATCCTATCTTTTTTTTTTTTTTTTTTTTTTTGGATGGAGTATTGCTCTGTAGCCCAGTGATCTTGGCTCACTGCAACCTCTGCCTCCTGGGTCCCAGTTCAAGCAGTTCTCCTATCTCAGCCTCCCAAGTAGCTGGTATTATAGGCACAAGCGACCATGCCCAGCTAATTTTTGTATTTTTTAAGTAGAGATGGGGTTTCACCATGTTGGCCAGTCTGAACTACTGTCGTTTTGAACTACTGACCTCATGATCTGCTCTCCTTAGCCTTCCAAAGTGCTGGGATTCCAGGCGTGAGCCACTGCATCTGGCCGATTTTTTCATTTTTAACAATATTATTAATGGTGGCATTAAAGTAGGCCCTGACGAGTTCTATGCTTCCAGATTCTCCCTCGATTTCCTCTCATAATGTATGAGACATGTGTGAGGATAAAGCAAGAAGGGTTCTCACTGTAACGGAAGCTTATATCTGAAAGATGTTGGGTGATATAAATGGTTTCTCCTTCCTCACCTGTCTCTAGACACTTGCAATACAGCCAACACTTTCCTTTGTATAGAAGAAGGAACATGAACATAAGCTATTTAACTATTTTATATTTTCTCTAGAACAATTTTTATATCTACTGATAACAATAAAAAATAACTTGTCAGCTAATTAATAAATATTTCAAAAAGTATGTTTAGCACTCTCCTTTCCCTCAAAGTTCTTCTGGTTTAGACAATAAATTATAAAGTCACACTACTTTTCAGTTACCATTTTGAAGATTAAACTTGCCTATACTTCCTTTCCCCCTTGAAGTTGCCTAGAAAATTGCATTGTTGTAGCTCACGTTGAACCAGATACAGAGGCCATGTGTTGAGCATGCATGGTAGTAAGAACCACTAAATATGGATGTCTGGGAGAAGATGTGGAACAGAGCCTCCCACCTGCCGTGGGTCCTTCCACTGCACACTGTTACTCAAGAGAGAAATAAAGTACCTTATTTTTAAGCATTGTATTTTGCTGTCTTGTTGCTGTCTGTCTCCTAAGTAATATATTCCCTAAATAATAAAGATCGATATTACTTGTACAAATGTTAGAAGTCACTCATAGAGAACTTAGGCTTAACTGTACTTCTTGTGAGTAATTAGGGGTGTGTGTGTGTGTGTGTGTGTGCGTGTGCACACACACACACAGTGTCATGGTCTTTTCTGCTGCACAGGCTGAAGTGCAGTGGCACCATCACAGCTCACTGCAGCCTCAACCTCCTGAGATCAGGCAGTGCTGCCCCTCAGTCTTCCAAGTAGCTGAGACCACAGACAGGCCTCCCAGTGCTCAGCTAATTCTTTGATTTTTTTTGTAGAGATGGGGGTCTCACAATGTTGCCCATGCTGGTCTTGAACTCCTGGGCTCTACCCATTCTCCCACCTCAGCCTTCCAAAATTCTGGGATTACAGCCATGAGCCACTGAATGTGGCCTGTGAATGATTAAGTTTTAAAGTTCCTCATTAAGGTGAACACCATGCAAAGTCAACAGTAACAGCATACTTCTCTCATTGAACCTAACAGAAACCTGAACATTGGAACAGACTAATATTTAGTAGAGCATGAGATGAAGCAGTTTCTTGCAGTTTGGGACTATGTTGTGTGAAATACATGTGTTACCTAAATATCACACTCAGAGCAATGACATGCTCACACTAGAAGTGACTCTGAGTTACTGAACCCAGATTCACATGCCTCATCTTTGATTCCTCCAGGGTGTATGGACCCATGATGGAATCATTTGCCTTTAATTGGTTATCCAAACTGTCCTCTCTCTTAGGACAGTATTACCATGGTATATTAGATAAAATCTGGAGGTCCTTTAAGACTCGGCTTCTGTTGGGTCAGATATATTCCACCTCATCATTTCCTAATGTAATTGTAAAAGACTTCTTATCTGTACTCTAAATAAGAATATGAAACCATCCTGAATCAAGTCTTGTTAAAATATTTGCAAGTATGTTGATTTTAAAAAACAATAACATTTGTAAGCTATAAGGAATATGAGACAGATGATACATGGCAAAGTATAATACGCTATACAATATAGATACTATAATGTTACCTCTCTTCCTTTATCATTATTTGGTTTGTCACCTAGATGTGCTGATTTATACTATACTGTTTGTTCCAAATTCCAAGAGTTTGAGTCTTGAAATGCTTATGACTTCGAACCATTGCTCTCCTGTTTAGTGATAATTTATTTCAATTATGTTTCTAAGGGATAAAAAATTGCTTGAGAATGGTTTAAACCTATAATATTGCTGAATCCACAGCTGATTTTATCTTACCCCAGAGAGAAATTTCTTTGGCCAGGTGCCTGAGGGAATTAGTAGTCTGAGAACTCCTAATACTTAATATAATTTCAAGGTATTCATACCTTAATACTACTTTAAAAAAATAAAAATGTGTCACAGATCTACATGTCATCTTTGGACAGGAGCCTGCTAGTCTTATCTGTCTTATTCCAGTTTCAGCAGGTGTGCAACTGAAGTGAGCATCTTAAGGATTGGAGTTCCTACACTATATTTAAGTGTTATGACAAGCTTAATTCTGTTTTATCTTTTCTTCCAGTACACAGTATTTTGAGTTTCCAGGCAACCTCAGTGGTTAACCAGGATCCCCACTTTTGAGAAGCTTTAAAAAACAACTTTTCTCCCCCTAAGTCCCCAAGGCTTTCCAATGTGCAGCTCAGACTTTCCTCGGCTTTCTCCAGAATAGTAAATTTCCTGACATAAAAGTTTGAAATTCTGTGTCTCATTGCCATGTTTAAAATAAGCTGTTTTCATCTATTGCTTATGAGCAGGAGACTACAGTGTCCTTAACTTTCCTCCAGCAAGACCAAAATTTAAACAGGCTTCCTTCTGATGCTAGGGGCTTCACTTGTACTTTCTAAGATTACTCACCTAAGTAAAGTTGCAATTGCCTCTTTGAGATGTAAATCACCCACTAGCCTCTGGCCAGTTTGACAACATGGAAATGACTCTCAAGGGTCTGGGAGTTAACTCACTGAAATGTAATCCTCTAGAAAGATTACACACCCATCTTTTTTAAGTCTCTGTGAGGGGTTAGGAATCTAACTTTCCTAAACTTCAATTAGCAAACACAATGGCCTAATCACAATGACCAACCTCTCTCATAACAGCATGCAGTAGATTTCCCTAGCTAATGCAAATTCTCCTGCCTTTTGTTTCAGCAGAATTGAATTCAATCTTTCTCCTCTATTGCAATAGTCTTGACCTCTTTTGCAATAGTCTTAAATAACATTTTCTCCACCTCTTTAACACCATCTTTTGTAATTTTTGACATTTAACAAAACATTAATTAGTTCTGGAAATTTACCCTTTTTTCTCCATGGATTCAGCAGCAATATCTAAAAGAAAAAAAATCATCAACCAATCGCTTACATATTTTTGATATAAAGGTAAAACACTGAAAACCAGTGGAACTGAATGTAAAGTAATTCAATTTTACAGAACACATCAGTTTTTTTCAGGCTCTTAATTTTATTAAACATAAAAGGGCAATATAAATTCCTGTGGAATTCCCCTTTTACTTAAGAATTCATTATTAGAGAATGACTTTAACAAGGCTGTTTTGTAAGAGGCTGTGGTTGCATTCAAAAATTAGAATGGGAACAATGACTTGTAAAAATTAAACATTTTAAACTACCACTCATTATATTCACTGTGTCTACTGATTTGACGCATTTCCTTCTGTGGCCACAAAATTATAAAAAGGATACAAAACAATATCTTCAAACAATTAAGAAAGTTCTTTCTTCTTAAAAAGATTATAAATATAATTCAAATGGGCATGACACTTTTACTAAATAGATTGACTTTTTGCTTCAAAGAACTCATTTGTACATCTAAATTAATTTTGGTCAGTATGTGCGAGTGCACGTGCGTGTAGATACGTGGATGTAAATGGCAATAAAGGGGAAGGTGGAAAAAGAGAGATGGCCTTTTTAACATAATTTTTAAATACACAAAACATACATACTAAAAGCAAGGATGTGGTGAAGACTAAGTATTGTGAACTAGAAAAAACACTTGAAATTGGCATATTTAAGACTTTAATATATATTATTAAATATATAGCAAATATAAATCTTACACAATTTAGCTCCTATATCTCCCAGTCTCTGTGAGAGGTTTGAAATCTAACTTTCTAAGCCTCAGTTAGTAAACACATCTGGCCTAATCACACTGACTAACCTCTCTCCTAACACCATGCAGCAGATTTCACAAGCTCATGCAAAACTCTCCTGCCTTTTATTTCAACAGATACGTCAAACGTTACAATGATACAATAATTGTGTAAGATAATATTAGATTGACTCTCGGAATCACACTCAGTTTGATTACCAACCTTTCTCCTGCATCTTACTCACTTATGTCTTCTGTGCATTACAGTATAAGTTATTGTAATATAGAAATATGGACTTCCTTTAAATTCCACTTTCTGCCTAGGAAATGCAAAATTTTTTTAGTATGATAAGTGTTTCAAAGCATTCAAAAATGGATAATGTAGGAAATACACTGCAAAATGAGGTCTGATTCGTATCCCCTTAATTGTTCTTCCTCTCTCATATCTCTGTTTCACTGATGAGTATAAAATATTATTTTCACATATTAAAATTTATAGAAATAAGGTATTGATTTGATCACCCAACCAATTATTTATTGAGTGTACATTAAAAGTCAATTTGTAATCTTGAGAACAGCTCAGGAAACAAATGAATGGTTGACTTTGACACACATAACAGAAATACCAACATATCACTAAAAGCATCATACCTCTGACAATCCAGATTCTCCTGTAAGCTCTTTTAAGGTTAGAATTTATCATTTAAAAAAATCATTTTGCCGGGTGTGGTGGCTCACGCCTGTAATCCCACCACTTTGGGAGGCCGAGGCGGGTGGATCACAGGGTCAAGAGATCGAGACCATCCTGGTCAACATGGTGAAACCCGTCTCTACTAAAAATACAAAAAATTAGCTGGGCATGGTGGCACGTGCCTGTAATCCCAGCTACTCAGGAGGCTGAGGCAGGAGAATTGCCTGAACCCAGGAGGCGGAGGTTGCAGTGAGCCGAGATCATGACATTGCACTCCAGCCTGGGTAACAAGAGTGAAACTCTGTCTCAAAAAAAAAAAAAAAAAAAAAAAAAAGTGTAACTCTGTCTCAAAAAAAAAAAAAAAATCATTTTATCAAGTCATTCTTGAGACAGAAAAGTAGAATCAGAAGATCATTATTGCTGTTTCAGTAGCTAAAATTTTAAGTAGCATTTTTAATCAACAGACAGCCACGTAATTCTTAGTTTTACATACTGATATTCATCAAAAATTAAAAACTTTGAAAATTATTTGTCTCATTCTACTAATCAATTTAAACATTTCATTTATTTCATTATGTTTCTTCATTTTTCTTGACCTTGAACACTTCTTTCCAGCCCATATTAAATTTAATTCATGTCTAATTTGTTTACTTGGTTTAGTTACTTTTGACTATGTTTGGTACCTGTCTTATAAAGCAGACACAGTCCTCACTCCTCCAAATTCCTAATGGCCATATCCCAAGACACATACCACAGTGTAAACACACACACACACACATGCACGCACACTCTGCAGAGAATCAACACATAAAATACTCTGCTGGCAAAGACATCATACATCAGGATCTCTCAGTTTACTACCCACTTCTGTAATTTATCAGGACTGTTCAATTGAGGTGAGTCTACAAAGATTCCTACGGCAATTTGAGTGCTAAGCTATCTAACTAGTGGTTAGACACTATTTGAATAATGCACTAAACATAACTCTCGAGGTGCTGAAGAATTTATGTACTTTCCAAGGAACAAGAAGTTATAAAATCCTGAATAACACAAGTTTCTTATATCCTTTAATAGAAAAAAGGAAGCTGATATCAATATGAATATTATGAATATACTTTGTTTACTTCTATGTGTGTCAATTTTTCTTTGTTTGTAATATACATTTTTACGTTACTGGGAGTAAGAAACATCTTAGAAAAAGATGACAAGAAATAAAATTTTTCATTGTTACACTGTGCTTTGGTCCAGTAACTCTGCACTGCACATATAGGCTATAAATTGGTGTCTTGGGGAACCACTTTGGTATTTCACTTTAATAGCTCATTCTGGAGAATATATTTGAGAGGATCATGTATTACAACTGATTTAAATTTTGTCTTATATAGAAATGAGTTTTCAAAAATATGTCTGAAGCCTGGATACTGTAAAATCCTTTATCATCATAGAATAATAAAATGCTAGCCATTAGTTACTCAGAAATTGTTCAATAAATCTAAGAAGACTTAGATATAACTAGTTACGAGTATGGCTCATCATTAATGTTTGTAAAAATTAATGCTGTCATTTATGATTGAGAATAAAAAACTAGAAATGAAACATACTTTGATAGATATAAATGATAGATATAAATTTACATAAAGCAAGGGAATAGATGTGTTAAAATGTTTGTTTTATAGATAAGAATTTTGATGAATTGTGTTCAATAATATGAATCAAATGTGTTTTGTATACTACATCAGCAGTTGCATCATTATAACCTTTTAAATATTCCATTAACTTCAAAACGTACTTACCACTGAAATAATCTGATTAAATGAATTGTGATAATGGATAAGGATTGGTGTAAGCTGCAAACAATACTACACTTCTTTAAAAATTATGTTTCTTTGTGTATTACACGAGAGAAGATGGTCAATAAATTAATTACTGCACAATGCCTACTATAATACTTAAACCTGAAAGAAAATCAGTAAATGTTTACTGAATAAAATTGGTGCATTGCTTTCATTTTATACTGTGTCCTGTTCATTTCAGGGTATACCCAAATCTGCAACTCTAAATAAGGCCCAATTATTTACTCCTTCAAGTAGCACAAGACTCAAGAAGAAAAACAAAAAAGTTCTTTTTTATATTCTAGTCTCTATCTGCTCCAAATCACACTAACTTTTCTTCAGTCTGGTACAAGTACTGATGTCAAAGGTACTGTTACCATTGTCACCTTCTCTTGTACCTTGATGCTCAACCTTCTAATTTACTTGAATTAATTTGGAAAAGTCCCATTTCATGATACTTTTAAGCAACCCAGATATTTTTCACTGTAAGTGATAATCTTCCTGTGTTCTTTTTTTTTTCCAGAAAACGATATCAACCTCTACCTACACCTGACATCTAAATGTAATTCTTGACATTTCCTTCTTCACATTTCCATTTCTTTTAGAATACCAAGTCTTATCAGATTTTACCTTCTCTATATTCTTGAAATATTTTTTTTCTTTTTCTGTCTTCATTGCTATTATGGGATTTAGCCCACTACTCCTTTACCTGGGCTATGGTGAGCACCTCTAAAGTGCTCTCCCTGATTCTCTCTCCAAAAAAAAATTTCTCTGCTATATCCAGAATGTCTTACTTGAAATGCAAACACAATTTACATTGCAAAT